GTAGCTGTGGAGGAAAAGTCTCTTTCTACATGATATTCATTTTTTTTAAGTGGGGAAAAATAAATCTCAAGACTCTCCAAAGAGAGAGTGTGTTTTTCCTTAAAAGATAAAATTTTGTATTTTACTTCATTTTAACCCCCTTCTACCTTCATCAAAATGTACTATTGAATACATTGGTGTCTCTGCTTGGATGCTCCTTACTGTAGTTAAAGCAAGAGCATGTTGTACACATATGTATTGACTAGCACTAAATAGGGATTGGACACTTTGCCAGTGGGTTTCACAGATATTTGCTGACAGCAGAGGAATGGAGAGACTCAGGAATCCAGGGTTCCATTCCAAGCTCTGGAGAGGAGTGTTCCCTAGTGGGCACAGACTTCTGCCCATTCTTCCTCAAGTGTGACCCGTTCTTGCCCCATCCCCTCCAACATATCTTTGTTCCTGTCCTATCTCTTCACCACTTTGACTCCTCATCCCAGTCCCTTTCTCCTCACCTAGCCAGTCTCAGCTTCTACTCTTTAGGTTTCTTATCCCAGTCTCCTTGACAAGGAAGTCCTAATTTTGCCCCCTCCTGGCTCCTCATCTGACCTGTCTCTCTCCCCCACTCTAGCCTCCAGCTGCCACAACCTCACCCCCACTAACTCCCAATACCAGTCTTCCTCCCATCCAGGCTCCCTGTCCCAGTCCCTTTGCCCAGACAGTCCCAGTCCCCCGTCCCACCCTGCACCCCATCAGATCTATCTCCCTGCATCTCTCATTGGTCCTCAATCCAAGTCTCCTTGCCCAGCCAGTCCTAGTCTCCCCGAGCTCTTCATCTGATTTCAGTCTCACCCATACCTACTGGCTTCAGCTGCTCCCAGTAACAGTCTCCCTGCCCAGCCAGTCCCACTCTCCCCCAGGTTACCTGTACCAATTAATTTCACCAGTCTCCCACAGGTCCAGCTCGTCTCATCTGCATTCAAATCAGGCAGCTTCCTCTTACACCTGCCAGAGTCCAGCAGAAGGCTCACTGAGAACACAGGAGATCATCCCCCTGCTTTTAGTTCAGTTGGCTGGACCTAGGACAGACTGCAGCAGCCCAAATCTGCAATTTCAGGAAAATATCCTGCTCAGCCCCAGGCTGGAGTCCGTAGTCCCAGTGCAGGACTGGGGACTTCAGATACTAAAATCTAAGGAGTCTCTAGTTGTGTAAACTGCATGTGTAGACTGATTTTTCAACATTTTATAACTTGACCAAATTTGGGCAGATTTTCATGGGGACAGCAAATGTTCCCTGACACAAAAATGACCCCTTTGCCAAATTTCAAGTCCAAAGCATGGAGATGTTAGCTCATTTAAAAGAAAAGGCAGTTAGAATTTTTTAAACATGGGCAAAACAGTGTATTTTTCCCTAGCTTGTTATCGAAAATGGCTGCACTGTTTTGGCTTTAATTGTCAAATCTGCAATGAAAGTGTTCTAAAACCAGACAACATATGCTGGGTCATCATCCGAGACTGTCATACCACAAAGTATATGGCAGAATGTGGGTAAAACTACGGAGCAAGAGACATAAAATTTTCCCCCAAGGAGTGTAGTCACAAATTTAATTAACGCATTTTTTTTTTTTAACAAGCGTCATCAGCATGGAAGCATGTCCTCTGAAATGGTGGTTGAAGCATGAAGGCATATAAATTTAGCATATCTGGCATGTAAATACTTTGCAATTCTGGTTACAAAAGTGTCATGTGAACACCTGTTCTCACTTTCAGGTGACATTGTAAATAAGAAGCGGATAGCATTATCTCCTGCATACGTGAACAAACTTGTTTTTCTTAGCGATAGACTGAACAAGGAGTAAGACTGAGTGGACTTCTAGGCTCTAAAGTTTTATATAGTTTTGGTTTTGAGTGCAGTTATGTAACAAAAAAAATCTACATATGTAAATTTCACTTTCATGATAAAGAGATTACACCACCGTACTTGTATGAGGTGAACTGAAAAATACTATTTCTTTTGTTTATCTTTTTTACAGTGCAAATATTTGCAATAAAAAATAATTATATAAAGTGAACATAGTACGCTTTGTATTCTGTGTTGTAATTGAAATCAATATATTTGAAAATGTAGAAAAATATCCAAAAATATTTATAATAAATTTCAATTGGTATTCTATTATTGTTTAACAGTGCAAATAAAACGGCGATTAATTTTTTTTGAGTTAATCTGTTTTGAGTTAATCATTTGAGTTAACGGAGATTAATTGACAGTCTTACTTTTTATGTTAACTAACTAGCATGATCTGATAAAAATATTTATATTAATGTGTGCGCACACAAGTGCACACCCACAAACCATCCCTCATGTTTTTCTAGAAGAGATGAGGAATGAGTAACAACTGGGGATAACAGAAGGCAGGAAAGGAAGTGACAGCATTGTGAAAAGGAACAAGAAAAGTGTTTGCTATTGTCAGTTAGCTTGCAGTCAAAGGACTGCACGCTCCTCTGGTAAATCCTGTGCAAGCCATTCTCTGTAATAGCAAAAATATACTTCTCAAAATATCATTGTTACTTAAGGAGAGATTAGCTGTTTGAAGATACTAGTAAGATGGTGGCAAATATAAGAGAAAAATGAAAAACTGTAGAAAAAGCCAAGGCTGCAGTTTGCCAAAAAAAACATCTTTATGTTCATCCCATTTAATATGTACATCCAACAACAGTTTCAATAAACTATAATCTTTCCTGGATTAAGTTCAAAAACAGAACTGTAGCTGCCCGTGTAGCTACTTACCAATACAATGCAATTTGTGAAATAACAGGATACTACATCAATGTAGTACTTACTCTGTCATGCAAGTGTGCTGTTAGAAACTGTATGGAATCTGTTATATAATTTAAAAAAAATAGACAGTGATTATAGGTTGATTCCTATCTGAAATTTATCTAGCAGAATTACAAGAACAGCACATCTTTTAAGTATGTGCATTTTTAAAATTCATTAATTTTACCGTTGCATGTAGTCTGGGCCACCACAAGTTCTGTAAGAAAATCAATGTTTCTGAAAGAAGCTTCAACTTCAAGCTTTACAGATGTTTGACATATAAGATAAAGTTTAGGTAAAAAAAGTTACAGATTAACTAATTCCAAAATATCCAAATTAAGAGAATTCGTCTTCCGATTGCTAGAAATTAAAACTACAGAAAGCAAAAATCTACGAAGGTAAATTAGTAAAGGACAGTGTTCATTGTGGAAGAATGAATTCTGGTTTTCTGAATAATAAATACCCAAGAAAGATGTGGCCGGCACTTGATCACCCAAAAAACCTGCATAACTAAGATTCTCTCCTTAATCCTCCTTTTAACATTTGTGAAAGGATACTCACGGATTAAATCAAATTTAGGAAAAAGCTTTCAATGTAATATACATACCATTATATACAAAAAACAGTTAAGACTAAATTTAGACTGCAAGGTCAAGCACTCAAAAGTTATGAAATACCAGATTTAGGTTGCTCATGCAAACTTAATTCTGTCTTGAGTGTCCATCCTTGGATACTGAATGAGGCCATGGCCCTATAGAAAAAAGTGTTTTTAATTACATGATCGTGTGCTGTCACTTACTTCAACGCACAAGAAAGCAGAATTAATATTGCACATGCAACCATAAATTTGGCATTTCCTAACTCTCAAGTACTTGATTTTGCACTGAGAATAGCATTCTTTTGACAGAGTATTTTAAATTAATTTTTTTTTTTAAGGAAGATGGTAAAAAGTAAACTTTTTGAGAGTGCCCAAATAACTAATAAGACTTAGGCTCCCAAATTGCCTCTGAAAATGGGGCTTAAGCTCCTAATTCATTTGGGAACTTCTAAAAATGTTAGTCCAAAACAAGTTGTATTATGTACTTTAGCCCTTAAAAACACTCCTTACTCATATGGGAATTCTGTGTCACTGCATGGATATCCCCTGCAGATTTCTTTCCTTCCCCGCAGAAAATTACTTCTGACGAGGAAGCAAAGGGAAGCCACAAGAGCTGTCACACGCCCCTCCTCAACAGCACAGGCAGGTCAGTTCAGGCGCCCGGAGCAGCTGGTAGAGACGTAAATTACCGCGCCAAGGGGCGGCGCTGGGCAGTCGTGCATGTGAGTGAGTGAGAGAGAGAGAGAGAGAGAGAGAGAGAGAGAGAGAGAGAGACTGACTTTGTCCCTCTTGCTCGCTATTGCGGCATGCTCAGCAGGAAGGGGTAGGGTGTTTCTAAGGAGGTAGGCCTGTGGCATGCTCTGTCCCCTCAGGCAGAGCAGAATGTAGCAACCTGCCTGCTTAGTGAATTGTTCCGATTGTCTTTGTGAACTCCCTCAGGAGTATAAAACAGGTATAAAAGTTTTAAGGCTCCTTTACATTGCCAGGGTGCTGTACAGGACAGTGTGGCTTATAAATGCTTATGGTGCTTCAGTGATTAGAACTGGTGTAAATTTTTGTACTGAAAAAATTTCCTATCAAAATGTGCTCCATGAACTGTTTGCTACTGACTTTTCTGGAGACTGTCAGTAGCAACATAAATTATGAGTTTGATTCCCCAGCTCTCACTTGCTCTTCAGTGGCCTACGAGGTACCACTGCATGGCTGCATATATTTGACGATTAATAACTAGAAATAAAGGATCAAACCTAGCTACATTACTATTAGGCAAGGGGATTTGGGGATTTCTTCCAATGCTCCCCGCTTCCATTTTCCAGCCATTGTATTGTAGTTTAAATAAATTACCTAAATAATTGAAACCAGCATAATTATATTGCATTATTTTGACAAATAAACATGCAGAATTTTAAAATATTGTGGCAGAATTTTTACTTTTTGGTGCAGAATTCCCCCAGGACTAACTCCTCCCCACCTCTGCTGCCATAATAGATCTTCAGCAAGTACAAATCCTGAACCTTCAGCATCATAGCTCATACTTCTAACTACACTATACATAAATAAGGAACAGTAAGAATTACTCTCTCATGCTAACTGTTTATAAAGTACCTTCAGGAGTAATTGCAGCAGGACAAACTTCTTTTAGGAGATCTCCCAGCGTATTTAGCTGCCCATTTGCAGCAACCGGACGAAATAACTTCTGTATAAAAGGTCGTTCCGTTGTTACCTGTTTTTAATATAAAAAAGTTAGTAAAACTGCAGTAATTTAAGCTCTAAGGAAGTGAATCAATCATACCACTTTTGGGGGGCTGTTTGGCATTTTAATCCCTTACACATTTTTGCCTCTGTTTTCCATCAGACACAGAGTGCTACAACCTAGTATGACACAGCTTTTAACAGTTTTATGTCTGTTGGCACACTTATCTTCCTTCATAGGGGAATGGATCATGGATATACTTTTGAAAATTCCTCCCCACCGTACCCCCAAATTATGTCGCTCAACAACCCTTCTCACAAGAAATGCACTGTCATGAAACAAAGACGCAAAATGAAGTTTGAAAAATCAGCTTTATATCTTAATAATGGTCAGATGTTAGGTATGGCAGTCAAAAACACTTGTGGTTCTATCATTTCTAAAAAAGTGGGTGACAAAAATAAAGTGCTCCTTAATTATGTAAAGAATTTAGTACACTAACATAATTCTGTAAAAATTAAAATTGATTACTAGTATTTGGCCAATGTGTTCACTATTTCCCCCCCATGTGACTGTGCTACATGAATTAAAAGAAAAGGTTCTTAGGCATTTGAAAATTTTATGCTTAGGTTTTTCAAACTGTAAAATTGACTAATACAAATCTAGCTTGTCGACAACTTTCTAACATGTTATTTAAGAAAGCACTGCAATATGCATGAGCCAGTTACCAATATGAGAAAATACTAATATTGTATAGGTTACAACATTACATTAAGTATCAGAGGGGTAGCCGTGTTAGTCTGAATCTGTAAAAAGCAACAGAGGGTCCTGTGGCACCTTTGAGACTAACAGAAGTATTGGGAGCATAAGCTTTCGTGGGTAAGAACCTCACTTCTTCAGATGCAAGTCGCAT